CTCTTAGATTACTAATGTGTACTTCTTTTTTTTTTTCATTCTGTATTATTTCTTTCTTTTTTTTTTTTTTAATATTTTTTTTATTTATTTCTATGAGAGAGAGAGAGAGAGAGAGACAGCGTGAGCAGGGGAGGGTCAGAGAGAGAGGGAGTCACAGACTGAAACAAGCTCCAGGCTCTGAGCTGGCAGTCAGCACAGAGCCCGACGCGGGGCTCGAACCCACGAACCGCGAGATCATGACCTAAGCGAAAGTCGGACGCTTAACCGACTAAGCCACCCAGGCGCCCCTGTATTATTTATTTCTGTTCTAATCTTTTTTATTTCTTCTGCTGGCTTTGGGCTGGCTTTGCCGCTTTCTAGTTCCTTTAGGTGTGACATTAGGTTCTGTATTTAGGACCTTACTTGCTTTTTGAGATAGGCCTGTATTGCAATATATTTTCCTCTTAAGGACAACCTTTGCTGCATCCCAATGGATCTGGACTGTCCTGCCTTCCTTTTCATTTGCTTCCATATATTTTTAAATTTCTTCAATTTCCTGGTTGACTCGTTCATTCTTTAGTAGGATGTTCTTTAACCTCCATGTATTTGTGGGCTTTCCAAATTTTTTCTTGTGGTTAATTTCAAGTTTCATAGTGTTGTCATCTGAAAATATGCATATGATCTCAGTCTGTTTATATTTGTCGAGGACTGTTTTGTACTTGTTGAAAATTGTTTTGTGACCTAAAGCTATGTGCTCTATTTTGGAGAATGTTCCATGTGCTCTCAAGAATAATGTATATTCTGCTGCTTTGGGATGAAAAGTTCTAAATATAGCTGTTAAGTCCATCTGGTCCAATGTGTCATTCAGAGCCATTGTTTCCCTATTGATTTACTGCCTAGATGATCTGTCCATTGCTGCAAGTGGAATATTGAAGTCCCCTACAATCACAGCATTATTATCTATACATTTATTTATGTTTATGATTGTTTTATATATTTGGGTGCTGCCACATTGATGGCATAAACATTTACAATTGTTAACTCTTCTTGATGGATAGATCCCTTAATGATGATATAATGCCCTTCTTCATCTCTTGTTACAGTCTTTTCTTTTGACATCCAGTAGTGTGATGGATGGTTCTCCATTCCCTCACTTCCAATCTGCAGGTCTCCTCAGGTCTAAATTGAGCCTCTAGTAGGCAGCATACAGATGGGTCTCGGTTTTTTAATCCATTCTCATACTCTGTGTCTTTTGATTAGGGCATTTAGTGCATTTACATTTCAGATTATTGAAAGGTACAGATTTAGTGTCATTCATGCATGTGATGATATCTCTGGTTCTTTGTAGTTTTTGCTGCTTTCCACTCACAGAGTCCCCCTTAGGGTCTCCTGAAGGGCTGGTTTAGTGGTCATAACTTCTTTAGTTTTTGTTTGTCTTGGAAAGCCCTTATCCCTCCTTCTATTCAGAATCACAGCCTTGCTGGATAATGCATTCTTGGCTGCATTTTTTTTCCTATTCAGCATATTGAGTATTTCCTGCCACTACCTTCTGGCCTGCTAGGTTCCAGTGGACAGGTTTGCTACTACCCTCTGTGACTACTTTTGTAGGTTAAGGCCCGTTTGTCCCTAGCTGCTTTCAGAATTCTCTCTTTATCTTTGTATTTTGCCAGTTTCACTATTGTATGTTATGCTGTTGACCTGTTTTTTATTTTGAAGGGAGTTCTCTGTGCCTCCTGGACTTGGATGTCTGTTTTCTTCATCCAGATTAGGGAAGTTCTCAGCTATAATTTGTTGAAATAACCCTTCTGCTCCTTTCTCTCTCCTGGAACTCCTGTGATATGGATATTATTTCATTGTATTGAATCACTTAGGTCTCTAATTCTTCCCTCATGGTCTTGTAATTTCTTTGCCCTCTTTTTTTCAGCTTTGTCATTTTCCATAATTTTATCTTCTATTTCACCTATCCTCTCTTCTGCTTCTTCCATCCTTGCTGTCACTGCGTTTAGTTTATTTTGCACCTCATTTACAGAATATCTTAATTCATCATGACTATTTCTTAGTTCTTTGGGGTCTAGGCAGCAATAGATTCTCTGCTGACTTCTATGCTTTTTTCAAGCCCATTTATTAGTCTTATCACTATTTTCTAAATTCTTGTTCAGATAGATTGTTTATATTCATTTTGAGCAATTCTGTATCATTTCTTCCTGGAATTTCTTTTGAGGAGAATTCTTCCATTTCATCATTTTGGCTCACTTTCTGTCTTTTACATGTTTTAATAGCTTGTCATACACTGTCCAGGACCTGGCACTTCAGGAAGTGTTTTTGGGGTGTGTTGCATCTACCCTGTTGTTGCATCTTTGGCTGTTCTATCCCACTTTTTGTAGTGGTGGATTGTTTGGACCTTCCATCAGGTGTGCTTTGATTTGTTTGTTGAAGTAACCCAGGAAAAAAGGAAAAAAAGTGTGTGAAATTTATCTCGTACAAAGAGAGAAATGAAAGGGGCTAAAAAAAAAAAAAAAAAAAAAAGACCAGGCAGAGAATCAAAGAAACTATCGGCTTAATCCAGAGAGAGAGAGAGAGAGACAGAGAGACAGAGAGAGAGTGAGAGGAAAATAAAGAAGAAAGAGATACAGAAAAGGTATAAAAAGACTAGAATAAAAGTGTCTAATTAAACAAATGAACACCTAGAACAGAAAGGAAAAAAGTGTGTACACACACATAAATACATGTATATGTAAATATATAAAAAATAAGAATTGACCAAAAAATCAGAAACTATGAGCCTGATTCCAAAGGGAAGGAAAAAAATCAAAGTAAAAGTAAAAAGTAAAAAGAAGGGAAAAAAGAAGAAAAAATAATAATAATAAAATTTAAAACAAACCAGACTACGTACAAAACCACAGGATAATTGTCTGTTGGTGCCTGGGATCAGTGGCTGTGCTGGTCTCCAGGATGGTCCGTCTGGTTTGGCGAGTGTCAGTCTCACTCTGGTAGAAAAGCAGTTATCAGGCGTGGAGGGGTTGGGTTTGGTGTAAGCGGGTCCTGCCTCCACTGGAGGCCATTGTCCTGTCCCTGAAACTTCATTGTGTTGATAATGGGGGCGGGGAATGGCGACACCCAGTTCTCTCCTACCCACACTGGATGTCTCAAACCATGCTATTCAAGCTGCCCTCAGAGTAGTGTGGGCAGTCTGCCTGCCTGGCTCCACAGTCTTGTGCACTTCCTAGGCACTCAGCTGGGATGAAAGCTCCCTGACTTAAAGGATCCTGTATCACGTGCACCTGTTCTGGGGTGATACCATTCAGGTGCCTCTAGAATATTTTACTTATTATTTTTTATTGTGATTTACAATGATGATCATTCATCATGTTTTACACAATAGAACTGGCATGCACCACTTGTTAATATTGTAAAATGCAATTCTTCATTTATAAGTGCTATATTTGTTTTGCAATTCTGGACTCTCATTTTTTTAGATTATCCATCAGATATGCTTGGTTTGGATTACTTACTATTGTAATATACTATCTGACCTTCAGCATTTATTTATATGAAGTATATAGAAAATTATAATACTTCTTCTTATCAGTTATGAGAAATGTATTTACTGCCAATCAGTATGTGCTTTGGGGTCATGGTGGAAAAGTACTGTATCTTAGAACAAATGTGAGCAAGGATGTGGAGAGAAAGGAACGCTCTTGCACTGTTTGTGGGAATGCAAAATGGTACAGCTCCTGTGGAAAAAAAATATGGAGATTCCTCAGAAAGTTAAAAATAGAGCTGCCTGGGGCACTTGGGTGGCTCAGTCAGTGGAGTATCCGACTTTGGCTCAGGTCATGATCTCATGGTGTGTGGGTCTGAGCCCATCTCAGACTACTCTGCGCTGATAACTCAGAGCCTGAAGCTTGCTTCAGATGCTTTATATCCCTCTCCCTCTATCCCTCCCCTGCTCATGCTCTGTCTCTCAAAAATGAATAAACATTAAAAAAAAACAATCCTACAATCTCATAATCACACTACTATTTACCCAAACATTACAAAAGCACTAATTCAAAGGGATACACGTACCTCTATGTCAATAGCATTATTTACAATAGCCAAATTATGGCAGCAGCCCAGGTGTACAGCTAGATGAACAGATAAAGAATACACACCATGGCATATTATTCAGCCATAAAAGAATGAAATCTTGCCATTTACAACCACATGGATGGAGCTAGAGAGTATAATGCTCAGTGATCTAAGTCTGTCAGAGAAAGACAACCATATGATTTCACTCATATGTGGATATTAAGAAACAACGCAAATAAGCAAAGGGAAAAAAAGGAAAAACCAAGAAACACTTTTTTTTTTAAGTTTAAGAGAGAGAGAAAAAGAGACCAAGTGGGACAGAAAGAGGGAGAGAGAGAATCCCAGGCACACTCTACACTGTCAGTGCAGAGCTTGATGCAGGGCTCGAACTCACAAACCATGAGATCATGACCTGAGCTGAAGCCAGACACTTAACCAATTGAGCCACCCATAGGCCCCAAGAAACAGACTGCTAACTACAGAGAACAAACTGATGGTACTAGAGGGGAGGTGGGTGGGGTGAAGGTTAAAGAGGTGATGAAGATTAAGGAGCACACTTGTCCTGATGAGCACTGGGTGTTATACGGAATTGTTGAATCTCTTTATTATACCCCTGAAACTAATAGAACACTGTATGTTAACTATACTGGAATTTAAAAAGAAAGAAAAATATCCTTTCTTTGAGAGCTAACATAATTTTGTATAGCATGAGTGTTTCTGTCATTGAGTGTTTAAACTAGACTATCCTAATTTGTATTACAGATGAACACTCTTTAGTAAAAAAAAATCCTGTTACTTTAGGTATTCCTAAAATTCTGAAGATCATGGAAAAGTTTTATAACTGTGTTCAGTACAAGTATTACTTTTGTGGTAATGTTATACTTTCCATATGTAACATTTGTTTGCAAACTGTAATTAACAGGATACCTCTGGCTCTTTATATTTTGTAGATGTTTCTCCTACACATGTGATCAAGAAATTACAACCAAAGGAGAACAGTAATACAGGAGAAGTATTCCAGGCAGTGATGTTGGAAAGGCACGAAGGTCATGAAATCAAAGATTTTTACTTCGGGGAAATCCGGAAAAGTATGCATGACTTTGAGTGGCCATGGAGAGATGATGAAATAAATTACAAAGACGTGCCTGTGACCCATAAATACAGTCTCCCTGATAGAAGAGATCAACATGGTACAATGGAGGCAGGAAACAAGGCTGTTGTCAATAGGCTTGGATTCAGCTTTCAGGATAAATGGGACACGTTTCATACTGAAGGAAAAATGTATGCATGTAATCAAGTTGATACGTGTGTTAACACTGGTTCCTCAGTTTCACCACTTCAAGAAATGTCTCCTAGTGTCCAAACCAATATCTCTAATGAACATGGGAATGATTTTATTCACCCTTCAACACTGACACAGATGAAAAATCACATGGGGAAAAAAGCCTTACAAATGTCATGACTGCGGCAAAACCTTTAATCAGGGCTCACACCTCACTAGACATCAGAATTCATACAGGAGAGACACCATATAAATGTGACATGTGGGAAGCTCTTCAGTCAAAATTCAAATCTTGCAAGTCATCAGGGAATCCGTACTGAAGAGAAACCTTACAAATGTAATGAGTGTGGCAGAGCCTTTAGTAAAAATTCACACCTTGCTAATCACCAGAGAATACACACTGGAGAGAAACCCTACAGATGTAATGAGTGTGGCAAAGCCTTTAGTGTATGTTCAAGCCTGACGAACCATTGGTTAATCCATACTGGAGAGAGGCCTTACCAGTGTAATGGATGTGGCTAGGCTTTCTGCCAAAGTTCCAAACTGGTAAAACATCACAGAATTCATACTGGAGAGAAACCACACAAATGTGATGAGTGTGGTAAAGCTTTTATTCAAAGTTCAAGCATAGTTGACCATCAGAAAAGTCATACTGGAGAGAAACCATACAAATGTAATGTGTGTGGTAAAGCCTTTATCGTGCATTCAAGCCTAATAAACCATCAGGTAATGCATACTGGAGAAAAACCTTATAAACGTAATGAATGTGACAAGGCTTTTATCAAGCATTCACACCTTAGGGATCAGGACAGAGTTCATACTGGAGAGAAGCCATACAAATGTATTGAATGTGGCAAGGCCTTCAGACAATGGTCTGACCTCAGGATTCACCAACGAATTCATGCTGGAGAGAAACCTTTCAAATGCCATGTGTGTGGCAAAGCCTTTACTCAGGGCTCACACTTGACTAAACATCAGATAATCCATACTGGAAAGAAACCATATAAATGTGATATATGTGGGAAGGTCTTCGGTAAGAATTCACACTAGCAGTTCATCAGAGAATCCATACTGGAGAGAAACCTTACAAGTGGAGTGACTGTGGTAGAGCCTTTAGTGTGCAGTCCAGCCTAACATCATCAGGCAACCCATACTGGAAAGAAACCTTACCAATGTAATGAATGTGGCAAGGCCTTTACCAAGCATTCACACCTTGGGCATCGTGGGAGAAATCATACTGGAGAGAAGCCATACGCATGTGTTGAATGTGGCAAGACCTTTCGTCAATGGTCTGACATCAGGATTCACCAAGGGATTCATGCCAGAGAGAAATCTTTCAAATGTAATGAATATGGCAAAGCCTTTACTCAAGGCTCACGCCTCAGTACACCTCAAGTAATCCATATTGGAGAGAAACCATATAAATGTGATGTATGTGGCAAGGTCTTCAATCAAAATTCACACCTCACAAGTCATTGGAGAATCCATGCTGGAGAGAAAGGTTACAAGTGCAACGAGTGTGGCAAGTTCTTCAGTCAAAATTCACACCTTGTAAATCACTGGAGAATCCATACAGGCGAGAGACCTTACAAATGTAGGGAGTGTGGCAAATCCTTCAGTGTCCATGCAAGCCTAAGTAAACATCAGGTAATCCATACAGGCGAGAGACCTTACAAATGTAATGAGTGTGGCAGAGCTTTTAACAGGGGTTCACACCTTAGACTTCATGAGAAAATTCATACTGGAGAAAAGCCATACAAATGTATTGAATGTGGAAAGGCTTTTAGACAATGGTCTGACCTCAGGATTCACTGAAGAATTCATTCTGGAGAGAAACTCTACAAATGCCATGAGTGTGGCAAAGCCTTTACTCGAGGTTCACACCTCACCAGTCATCAGATAATCCATACTAGAGAGAACCTTACAAATGTACTGAATGTGGCAATGCTTTTAGGTATTGCCTTAAACCCAGGGTTCACCAAATAGTTCATACTTAGAAATGCAACGAATGTGGGAAAGTTTTAAATTAGTTCTCTTCACTATGACTAAGTATCCTGGAGAGAAACCACACAGATGTAATGTGTGTGGCAAGGATTTTACCCAAAGATCAAAAGTTGGGGAACATACCAGGGTAACACCTTATAAATGTAATGAGTGTGGCAAAGTTCTTAGCTTGAGTTCCAAGTATTTTACAATATAGTCCATGTTGAAGGGAAACCATGTAAATGTTTGTGGCAGAGCCATTTTCCATGTCTTACAATGAGATCAGAATATATAATTTTCAGAGAAACCACACAAAACTGTGCGTGCTAAGGCTTTTGCCCTAAAGTCAAAACTGTGAAACATCAGAGGATTTATATTGGAGAGCCACCTTACAAATGTAAAGAATGTCATCAAGTTTTCATTAAATGATCATGCCTTTGGAGGAATGAGAGAATTTATGCAGGGAAAACTATACCAAATATGCTGAATTTGGAAATACCTTTAAGAAACTGTGTGTCCTCAGGATTCACCAACAAATTCATACTGGGGAGATTCCTTGCAAATCCTTACAAATTTGATAAATATTTTGACCAATTTACAGGCAGGACCACAAATGCAAGAATCCAGGAAGAACTAGATGCAACTGGAATAACTAAGTCTTTAGTTCTCAGAGATTAACCTGAAATGTTCCACACTGCATATTAATTATGTCAAAAATTGTTACCTGTATCATGGGAATAAGGACATGAGTGGAAGTAGCTCATGATTTTCTGTGTATATTTATCTGACTTTTCTTCAAAAGGCTTCATTAAAGCCTCGTATTTCTGAGTTTTACCCTCAAGACTGAAATCTGTTGATCTTAAGCCATCCTTACAGGCCTTACCTGACCGTCTCTGAGGAGGAATCATAAAATAAAGGAGCCTGCTTCATTGGGTGTGACTCATTCATATCCGTGTTCTCTGGAACAACAAGGACACGGAGTTATCAGATTCAGTTTTGTGTGAATTTGCAAAACCACCCTAAAAGTCGTCATGCTTGTTATGTTCAGGGCAATCTTCTTTAGGTAGACCCTTCTCTAGCTGAGTTACAGGGACTGGCCTTTTTGTGAGAAGATAGGGATAGTTGGTTTAGTCAGGACTGATTATGTGGTAGAAACCATGCAGGGGAAGATAGTAATAGTTCTTCTGTACTATCAGTGACAAATTGATGGATCATTAATGCCATTCCCTTTTCTTGGAAAATGAAAGGAGCAGTTATGAGTTGAATCCAAAGAACCAGAACAGTAAGTGCATGATTAATACTAAACTCCTGCCATTACATTTTGCTACTGTTTCTTTTTTCAGAATGTATCACAAGTCTCATGTTTTCATCAATAAAGTTTAAGTTATTTTCCCCCATAACCCTGAAGGGGTTGTGTTCTTTTTCCAACACAGTTTTATCCCATCTCTGTAGAGTACTTGGTAACACATACTAACAAGCCACCATTAGGCTCTCAAGGTTGAAGGGACCTATAATAATTTCTTTCCATGATGGAATTAAAAAACAGACAGTTTGAGGATTATATACTTACACATTGTACTTCAGTTATTCTCTCCATACTCTGCCCCAGGATATTTATGTAGTTATAATGAAATGCCACAGCGGTGCAAGTTCAAGACTCTGATCCCCTAAAACCTGCCCCCCATTCATAAATCTGCACCATATGATTTTATTTCTTCATGTGTTTTGTGCCCAAATGGAACCCATTCTTTGCACCATGATTTAAATAACATGAAAACATTTGGAACATAGTACACATGGAAAATTCAGAAATAAAATAATTTCAGAATTACAGCTAAAAATAATCATTTTGATCTTGGAGCACTCAAGGAATAGTTTAAGATGAACAGTATCCAATAGGAAAATTTGATAAACTAGAAATTTCACATATTCATCCTCCAACACATTTTTTGTTTTCACTTGTGGCTGTCCACTGGAACAGATGGAACTAACCAATGTTGGGTTTGGATATTGAGACTGGTGGTGCCATGCACTAAAAGTGTTACAAGAATATATGTAATTAAGATTTCTGGGGAGAGCACGGGACTTCCAAGCTGGTCAACAAATGGCTTGAGGGAATGGGGAATGGTGAGTGGTTTGTTGTGTTTTAGGTGGCTACTGGGTGGAGCTGGAAGGGAGGGTGCCGCCTTTCATTTGAATGTCCAGCTGCCACCAAAGGAAGGAGCACCAAGGCTTTTCTCTCAGCTTGCCCAGGTGGGCGGAAGTGATGGTGAGGCTTAAAAGGTGTCAGTAGTCAACCACCAAAAAATGGATACTCTTTAATAATACACTGAATATGGGGCACCTGGGTGGCTTAGTCAGTTAAGCGTCTGACTTCGGCTCAGGTCATGATCTCACGGTTCGTGGGTTCGAGTCCCGTGTCCGGCTCTGTGCTGACAGCTCAGAGCCTGGAACCTGCTTCAGATTCTGTGTCTCCCTCTCTCTCTGACCCTCCCCTGTTCACGCTGTCTCTCTCTCTCTCTCTATCAGAATAAATAAAACATTAAAAATTAAAAAAAAATATACTGAATATTTATTCTTGAAACTCCTGATTTCTTGGTTGGGAAAGACAAGATTTTCTTCATGCTAATTTATTTTTTTTATTTTTTAAAATGTTTATTTGTGTGTGTGTGAGAGAGAGACAGTGTGAGCAGGGGAGGGTCAGAGAGAGAGGGAGGTGCAGAATCTGAAGCAGGCTCCAGGCTCTGAGCTGGCTGTCAGCACAGAGCCCGATGTGGGGCTCGAACCCATGAACTGCGAGATCATGATCTGAGCGGAAGTCAGACACTTAACTGACTGAGCCACCCAGGTGCCCCTCTTCATGCTAATTTATTACATTCCTTTTCCTCGTGTACACCTAGGTTCCATGGAATAATGTGCTTGCTGAAATGCTTATAAAACACTGTTTAGATAAATTGCCTTAAGATTTTTATGCTAATTTAGGGGCGCCTGGGTGGCTTAGTCGGTTAAGCGTCTGACTTTCGCTTAGGTCATGATCTCGCGGTTCGTGGGTTCGAGCCCCGCGTCGGGCTCTGTGCTGACTGCCAGCTCAGAGCCTGGAGCCTGTTTCAGTCTGTGACTCCCTCTCTCTCTGACCCTCCCCTGCTCATGCTCTCTCGCTCGCTCTCTCTCTCTCTCTCTCTCCTAGAAATAAATAAAAAACATTTTTAAAAAAATTAAAAAGATTTTTATGCTAATTTAATGAAAATGTTTGGAAATGTTTATTAGATAATAAATATTACTAAACAAACTCACTAGAGGAACAGTTTTCCAGAGGATTTTAAAATGTTAATTTCAGATTATGGTCTTGAGCAATTCATTCCATAGTTCATTTTCAACTGTAATAAAATTTCATTTCTTACACAATTTTCCCTTACCATGATCTTTTCCTTCCACACATTGTGACCCAGATTGTATGTTTCATTTACCTTTTTTCCCATTTTATTCCAAGAGATACATAGATCACTCTGTTGTTTGGAGACTTTTTTGACATGAAAATGCACATGAGGCAGTGATGGGTACAAAGTAGGTGCTAAATCTGAAGAGTTCCTTCATGTCTTAAGTGAAATAACTTGAAACATCTGAACTGTAGTAAGTAGTTGGCTGTGGTCTGGTGCTTGGAAATCAAGTGTGTGGAGGTTAACAAGCACCTAGTGAAGTAAATGAATAATAATGATGAATAAGATAGAAAGTCCCCAAGAGTCCAACCCCAGTGTCTGGTAAAATAATCTGCATTGTCAAGTGCCTGGAGGTCATCTGCTATTTCCCAGTTACTGATCCCTCTCTTCAGATCCAGACAACTCTGCACTAGAACGTGGGTTCATATTACTTATACTTTATTTTTTATGCAATCATACATGGTATTGTTTTTAAGTAGGTTTCACGCCCAACTCTGAGCCCAGTGCACAGCTTGAACTCCTGACCCTGAGATCAAGACCTGAGCTGAGTTCAAAAGTCAAACACTTTACCAACTGAACCACCCAGGCACCCTGGTATTGTATTTTTTTAATTTCAGTTTCAAGGTGTAAATTGCTAGTATATAGAAATGCAACAGATTTTTGCATCCTTCTGTGTTCTAACACTTTGCAAATTTTTCTTCTAGAAATTTTTATACATTCCTTTGTATTTTCTACATATACCACTTCAAAAATATTCCCGTTGATGTTGTGACAAAGCACCACAGCCTGAATGACTTAAACTAACACGTTTATTCTCTTACAGTTCTGAAGGCGAGATGTGTAAAATGGATCCCTAGCTCCGTGCTCCGTCTGGATAGGCCAGGTCAGGCTTTCTTTCCTTAACTTCCCATGTCTGGAGGCCACTTACACCCTCTGCTTCCTGATCCCCTTCCTCCCTCTTCAAAGCCAGCAAGATAGCATCTCCAAACTTGTTTACATCCTCTATCACTTCACCAACTTCTACATGAATAACTCTGCCTGTGTCCTTCTTATAAGTCCCTCGGGACTGTATCGCAGTTACCAGATCATCCAGGATAACCACGCACCTCACGGTCCTCACCAGAGCACATCTGCAGACTCCTTTACAACATTTACAGTAACGATCCCATGTGCTAGGCTGGAGGACATGGCCATTCTTTGGCATGGGGGTGTTATCCAGCCCACACGACCATGATGTCTTCTGCAGGTAGCTACACTATTTTATCTTCCTTTTCTCTCCTTACCACTTTTGTTTACTCTGCCCTATGTTACCAACTAGAACTTCTAATAACATGTCATGTGAGTGGTAAGAGTGGACATCCTTGCCTTGTTCCCAGTCTTGGGAGAAAAGCATCTGGTCTTTCACCATTACATATGAAGTTTTCTATAAGTTTTTTGTAGGTGTTCTTTACTGAGTGGAGGAAATTTTCCTCTCTTTGTAGTTTCCTGAAAGTTTAGATCATAAGTAGGTGTTGAATTGTGTCAAATTGACAGGATCCTGTGATTTTTCCTGCCTGCCTATGAACATGATAGATTATACTGCTGGAATTTGAAGCTGCCTTCTGTCCCTCAAATAAACCCATTTGGTCATGGTGTGTACAATTCTGTGCATTGCTGGCTTCCACTGTTAATATTTTGCTAAGAATTTTTGCATCTTCATTTGGGAATTAGTTGGTAGTTAGCCTCGTTCCTCCCTCTTGTGCCCCCCCTTAATGTTTTTGTGTGGTTTTGTTATTCTGCTAATACCAGCCTCATACATTTACTTGAAAAAAAGTATTTGTTCTTCTATTTTCTGAAAGAAATTGTGTAGGATTTGTTAATTCTGTGCAGGTTTGATAGAATTATCTAGTGTTGTTGTTGTGACTTTGTTGTACCAATATTTGTTGAGTAGAACCCTAGATGTCAGATGGTGATCCAAGGTTCAACAAGAGATTATAAGCGAAAGTGAAGTAGAGAAAGTTCATTACTCACAAATCGTGGGGGAGCTATTCTGCACACCTATAGGGGTCGTGTGAGGAGATTAAGGCAGGGTGCAGGCAGAGATCTTAGGGCAGGACCAAGGGCACATGCCTTTATTAGGGTCCCTCAGTGGAATGTTTGGGGTTCTGGGCTAAGGCCACATAGGTCAATTCAAATCAAACAAAGCAGGGTTTTGGTAAGCTTTTGGTGGTGGGTGAGGGGTCTTACCAAAGGGGACAAGGGGAAGACCCTGGGAGATGAGGAAGATGCTTATCATGGGGAAGATTGGGAGCGTACTATCAGGAAAGGACATTTGCTTCTGTCTCTGTGGGCTCTTATCTAAGGTCTGTGCTCGAGGGAAGGCCTAGTATCAGTTCAAGGTCCCTACACGCCTCCAGACCACACAGAATGGATGCTGAGGCACCAGTATTAGTAAACTCTCAACACTCGCTCTATGTGCCTACAGGTTTCTTTGTCGGGAGGGAATTTTAAGATTACAAACTTACTCTGCAATTCAAAGGATTCCTATCATTTCTTTCACATGGGTGATTTGTGGTAAGGTGAATATTTAGAGGAATTGGTCCATTTCACCTAGGTTTTCAAGTATATGTTGTAGAGTTTTATATTAGTCCCTTACTATCCTCTTGATGTCTGCAGGTTCTGGATAGTATTCCCTGTTTAATTTGTTATGAGGAATTTGTGTTTTCTCTTGTATTCTTTGGTAGTTTTGCTGGTGAATCATGGACTTTATTGATTTTTTTCAGTGAACCAGCTCTTTGGTTTATTTTCTCTGTTTTCCTATGTTCTATTTTACGTAACTTTTGTTCTTGCCTTTATTATTTCCTTCTTTCTGCTTCATTTGTGTTT